CACTGGCGTATCCGATTACTTGCTCCATCTATGCACATACAAATAAGGTGTGAGATCAATGCCAACATTCCACAAAACATCATCGCGAATACAGTAAATTCGTCAACAGTGACATGACTATGTGGCATGCATACAAATTTGAACATACAAAATCATTATGAGGTCATTAAGAGGTCACTACTCTCCTCTCTTATTTACCTAAGTAGGGAATCATTTTGCATAAAAAAATGCACAAAAATGCAATGGACAAATCAAAAAAAAGAACAAAAAGAGCCATCCTAACCTACTGTGCGCCGTCGAGGGGTCCTCGCCTGGGGTCGACGCCAATGCGTTGCTGCCACCCACGTCGTGGAGGGCGCGTACCAGGACAGAACGTTCACGGGAGCGCTGGGCGTTTCACCGGCGACACGGCGTGTGGGTGACTACGGACGTCGTCGGTGCTCGCGACTAGACGGGTACGTCGGGGTCAACGTCGTGACGGCGGTGGACCACGGCGGCGTTGATGCCGCTAGGGTTTCGTACGCGGAGATGGGGTGTCGGGGTGGGGCGTACTTTTTTTTCCTTTCCTGATCGCACTACCGAACCGCACGCGTACGACGCGGGAGTACGGGGCGCGACGTACACGGGCGGCCGGCCCTACGACGGACGGCGGGTGCACTAATACATAATTTAGTATGGACAATACTACCCCTTATACGTTTATTGGGGGGGGGGTTGTACCGAAGTCCTTCTCTCCATAGAATCCCAATGCTACAACTCAAACTTATGGATATGAGTATGTCTAAACGTGATTTTAGAATTAGGATGGCTCGGTTTAGCTCTTACCAATACATCCTAGATCAAATAAACATCCAAAAATGGCATTTATAGACAGGGTATCACCACAACAGTTCTAATTACACGCACTCTGGATATGCACGCAAAATTCACTCATGAATCAAACAAAGATCTATCAGCAGCTAATGTTCTTAGCTAAAATAATTGCTTGCAGACATGTGCGTGCGAGGCTACTCTTGCATATGCGATAAGGTCTTTACACACTTCCTGATGATTGTGTATGTGGAGATTTATCATTATAAAAGGAGTAGGTCTTTAAAAGTTAGTCTTCCTCCTTGCAGTTGTCCACCACATCAGAGTTTAAAAGCTGGAAGAGGCTCCCAATTTACTGACAACTTGTGGTACAAATAAGTCACAAATATCAGAGCATGGAGAGAGCAAGAGAGCTTTCATCACATACTCATTCAACATTAATATGATCAAGGAAACAACAAAGAAAAGAGTTGGTGCAACATCATTGGTGTCTTGACATGTACTCCCTCCATCCGGAAATACTTGTCATAGATATGGATGTATCTAGATGTATTTTAGTTTTAGATACATCCATTTTCATCCATTTTGATGACAAATAATTCCGGACGGAGGGAGTACAAACATATAAGAAGAACAAAAGCTTACCAATTCTCCTGTTCTCAAGCGATGTCTATGATTCTAGCTGATTGGTTTCTAGACATAGATAAATAGCTATAGTAGCTGGCGCCCGAACTCTGAAATGCAAATGTTGTTGTAGCATCGCTAGCAACCATTCTCAATTAATCATCCAGCTGGGTACCTTCTTTAGGGAGTGTTGGTTACCTCAGCATGATGCCACCGAGCTAGAACCTGATTCAGTGGGACGTTTGCAAATCTGATTCAAAAATGAAAATAAAAAACAATTAAACCATGGGGAAGGAAGGAAATTGGCTATTAAGTACTGAAGAACTATAAGCAACCATTGTACAGTTTCTCCATGGTTGTTATTACCAAACAAATTTTGGGGATATTCTTATTGGAAAATTAATGTTATTATTGATTCCCTTCCAAAGCTCCAGCTCGTCGCCAAACACAATTTGACGATGAACCTTTGCATTCATCAAGGTGTGACCTTCCTGGGTTGACATCCAAAGTACCTCCCTTGTTAAAGATGGATTTGTACAATTGTCTGGAAAAAAACTTGAGCACAAACTGAGTTTAACTTTCCATGATTCAGAATATCTCAGGAAAGATACAAAGCAAGCTTTGATATTTATTATTCATCTAGAAAGTGCTTCTTAGGCTAAGCAATATGGAGTGATATAGCAATTCGTACCTTATAAATATTATTATGGACCCGTTGGGCTGTGAAGGCTTCTCCATGGTCGGCAATCTGCTCCGTAGTGACATTTTTTTTCAGGTTTGCTCTTCCAAAAGATCAATCGATATCAGACTTCTTATCTACCTATCCTGGATATAATCTTTCCTATGTTTAGGTTAGTTTCCATTTATTTTCTAGAGTACCATCCTTATCTGCAACCGAGACAGTTTGTGGTTGCTGCTATTTTTATCTTTGAACTTCCAAGTGAAACCAGTGTTGCCTTTCCAAACATCACCCTACACCAAATGCATTCATGATGCAACAGTACCAAATTTTAAGCTGACTGGTGGCTTTGTACAATCTTGGTTGTCCCTGCATGGGCCAAGATTAGGCTAGCATAGCAAAGTGAGTTTCCCATCAACGGATTATCATCCTGTTGTTTCCATGAACATCAGGTACATATATGAACCTGTCAACGGAGCGGAACATATGATATGAACCAAGTAGATTCGTCTTTTTGCTCGTAACGTTAGTAGTTACTCGCTCATTAGTAGTGAACTATGATCATTTGTGAGGAGTATGTTTTCAACTCTATGTATGCGGTGTGCCCTCGGTTCAAGAAAAGCAAGGTAATTTGATGGCTTGGTGTAATCCTGATTGTCCTGGAGCAGTATTGCGGTCGATGTAAGCTGACAATTACTGCGGACACGCAAGAAAACCTCGATTAGATGCAACACACAAATCAAAGATTAATTATCAAGCTAAAGCATGGGCCCAATTGATGCCTATAATGGGAGGCTTAGATGGCACCACAAGATTAGATAAAATCCACTCCTTTCCTTGACCCACAAAAATTCATGGCTATGATTCATTCAGCTACTGAGCCAACTTCAAAACCCTAGAAATAAAGCGAGGGTGAGAGGGGGAAGACCATACCGTCAAGAAAGCCGCTACCGTGCAGAAGGGGACGAGGGACGCCACATATAGTGCCGTAGCTGTCGCCGTCGACCTAGCACGTACCAGCACAACAGTTCATTGTTGGGCCAGCACGGGAAGAGAATGGGGAGCCCAGCGACGGCGCAAGTCATGTGTGAGGGAGAGGCAAAGGGTAGCGACGGCGCGAGCGACCCATGGACCTTCTTGGGCGAGGGGGGAGACAAGCGGAGGGAGGACGAAGAAGAGGCGGCTGCGGCGTGTGAGGGTGGAGGGAGGGAAAAGAATTCTATGAGACCAGGTCTCATATAATTTTTTTCCGTGGGGGAAAGGAAGACGTGCGCGTGATGCGGAGCTGCCTTCGTTGCAAAGGAAACGAACCAATCTATTGTTTGTTTTTCTCGTCGCTACTGTTTCGACCCTCCTGCCCAACCCACGCGCTCGCTCGATCGAGCCCTGCCGACGTGGACACCATGAGTGATCGCTCCTTCCGCGTACCTTAATGTGTTCGATGGAGCATTTCCGTTTTTGGCATGTCCCAAGCGGTGCAGCTCCGTGCCAACGAGGCGAAGCGTGAGCACTTGTTCGAGGAGATCGCAGCGAAAGCAGCGCATGTGGTGACTGACGGGATGGCTGCCAATGTCAACAGCTCCACATTGTACGACAAGGCCAGGCCGTCCTACTCGATCATTGACCTTAGCTCCACCGATGATGTCAACGGCTAGGCGGCAAAGTCCGGCAAGGAAGAGTAGAACATGAAACATAGACGTGCACATGCCCGGCCGTATAACACATTTGTGCACATGACCGGCGAAGAGTAGGCTACAGTCGGTTACTAAATGTATAGAAACGCTAGGTTAGGCAGGTTTACAGATCAGAGGGATGTTATGATTACGTAAGAAAGCTTAGGGCATGTACAATGGTGCTATCTTAGGAGTGCCACGTAGGATTAATGATGAGGTGGAGGAGAGAGAACTCGTAAGAAAAGGCTTGTCTTCTCTTATTTAAGATAAGACAAGAGATGATCTCTTAGCACAATTTGTCTCACCATGTTTTAAGGAATTGCTAATTATTGAAGATAAGGCTAAGATATAACCCATTGTAGACATACTTTTTTGTCATCTCTAAATTGCATGCAATACTTAAGATAAGATTGTCTTATCAACCATTGTACATGCCCTTAGCAAATCTGAGAGATTAGGCAGGTTAGGCTGGGCCCACCCTGAAAATCAGGGGGATGTTACGATTACGTGAGAAAGCTATTAAAATCTGAGAGATTAGGCAGGTTTAGGCTGGGCCCACCCTGAAAATCGTGGGGGGCGGGGTGATTACGTGAGGTAGCAAGCAGAAAAAAAAAGGAGAGTAAATTGTGCGCATCTAGCTACAAAAGCGGGCGGCTGCCTGAGACGAAACGCTTCGCGCGTGGGATCGCTCGTTCCAACGAGCGAGCGCGAAGGAGTAAACTCCGAAAATACGTGTCCGCTTTATTTGATGCATAGTAGTACTATTAGATGACTGTCATGATGTCTGCGTCTACAGACATGTCCAAACATGACTACGGACGTGTCCAATTTAATTCACAGCGTTGAAGATACCCTATCACGCTTTCCTGGGCGAGTGCCTCGCTTGAGGAGGTTCCAGAAAACTCCAAGGAGCGAACAGCAGGGACACACGTGTGAGCTCAGGATTTGGCCCGCGCTTCTCCCATGCAACGCGGCAGTCAACCGCTGGGACAACCATTGCCTGCCATCTGCAACCTCAGCAGAAGCACTCGCTAGCGCCCCCACGTACACCCTGCTGCCGCCACGCGTCCCCGGCGCGAAGCCTACATATAGCTTGATGACGGCCGGGAACCATGGCTCCATCACCAACAACAGAGAGCAAGCAACCAGCCACCAAAAATCGGTCGAAGAAGCAGAGACTTGAGCTTTTGAGCAGCAAGTAGAGGAGAGCAGCGATGCCGTTTGTGCCGGCGTGCGTGCAGTGCGGGACGCGGAGCAACCCGTGCCGGTGCAAGGTGGTCGGGCCGACGCTGGGGTTCGTGGCCTTCGTGGTCACCGGCGTGGTGGAGTGGCCGCTGGGCGCGGCGGTGTACCTGTTCCGCCGCCGCAAGGGACGCCGCATCATGGGACACCCGGCCAGGGTCGTCTACCCGCGCGTCACCACGGCCATCCCCATCTAATCCTCATCCTAATGGCATCCGTCAGCTTGTGTTCATTGATGGGATTCAATAAAAGGGCGGGGGTGTTGGTGTGTGCTTGTGTTGTAAACTTGTAGTCTGTGCAATTGGTCCGTGTATTTTCGTTTTCCTACGGAAACGGGGTGTATGTGTGTCAGTGTATTTTTTTAAAGAAAATTTTTAATCTATTCATCTTTAATCATGGTAGTACAATGAACATCGGAAATAATAAAAATTACGTCCACATTCATAGACCACCTAAGGCGAGCCGCCGTCATCGTCTCCATCGCCGGAGTCAGGCACAACTTATTGTAGTAGACAGTCGGGAAGTCGTCGTGCTAAGATCCCATAGGACCAACGCACCAACACAGCAACCGCCGCCCATTAAGAATAATGTAGATCAGAAGGATCCAATCCAAAGACACATGAACGTAGACGAACAACGACGAGATCCAAGCAAATCCATCAAAAATAGATCCGTCGAAGACACACCTCCACACGCCCATCAACGATGCTAGAGGCACCGCCGGAACGGGGACTAAGCGGGGAGACCTTTATTCCATCTTCAGAGAGCCGTCGTTGTATCGTCTTTCTAAGCAAGACACAAACCTTAATAAAACAAAAAAACGGCAAAGATCAAAGCCCTTCCACCGGCCCTTGTCAGGATGCAGCACGCCCACATGGTTCTAGGGCCATTGAAGACGATGCGGACCCGCAACGGCGCTGGCGAGAGGCAGAAACCCTATCCTTTCTTTTAGGAGGAGGCGGCGGCTCGTAAGGCTAATACCCATGGCTCTATATGTGTGTCAGTGTATGATCTACCTCTCTCAGATGTCGCCGAATCTGTTAAATACACTATGCTTCTTAATTTTCAAGACCTCGTAATTAATTGAGATTTTTAGTTTAAATTGAGTCATTCGATTTTAACTGGGTCAATAATATTTTTTTAAAAATCCCTTTGGTTCAATCTTTTTAATTCACCATATCCCATAATTCTTTCAATTCACTATGCTTCATAATTCTAGAGCTCTTCCTTCGATTGAGGTATTTAACTTAGATTTTGGTCCACAACTTTAAAAAGGAATTTGTCGAACCGGAATAAACCACCTGTCTCGCCTCCGCGGGGTGGCGGGCTTCGGTTCTCGGGTCTCTACAAGAGAGAGGGGGTGACGGGGAGTTTTTGATCTCACCCCGCCTCTGCTTATTTCACCCCTTTCGCTCGCCTTCAGACTTCCAGGCGCGCCGCGGCCCCAGCTTCATTCTCTCGCCATGCCCTTCACCGCCTCCCCGCCATTGATGGCCAAGACAAGACGTGCACAGGGGGAGTGAGCTCCTAGCCGGGAACCTTCGTCGAGCGCTGCCAGCAAGAAGCGGAAGCGGGTCGCTCCAAGAGGCAGAGAGACCTCGGCGCGCACCCCCTCCCCCGTAAGTCGACGCGGAAATGGTTCCCCTCCGCAGCTGCGGAGGTTGAAATCCAGGGATACAAGGAGCAACTCTTGATGTCGGTGGATCTGTTCGTCCAACTCCCTATCGGAGGTCCCGCCGGAGCCCCGCAACGGTGAGCATGTCTTATGCCTGGGGTATTTTGGGAGAGGGCTTGGATTCCGGCTCCATGGCTTCGTGCGGGGCCTTCTGCGGTTCTTAGACTGCCAACTGCATCACATCCCGCCTAACGGGGTGCTCCACATCGCCAACTTCATCATGTTATGTGAGTGTTACCTTGGGACGACCCCCCACTTTGAGTTGTTCTGTCACTTCTTTCGGGTCTGTGTCCAGAGTCCAGACAAACGAGGGCGCCATCTTGCAGCTCCGTCCCAACTCCATGTTTCTTCTCCTTTGATCTCCCGAAATCCGTTCGAGAGTGGCATGAGTCATGGTTTTATGTGGAGGGCCTCGACGAGGATCTGCCAGCTTTCATGAATGAGCCCCCGTGAAATCTGCAGTCGTGGGTTCCGCTGACCAAGTTGACGCCAGAGGCCAAGGCGTTGGCGGATGCTACCGCTCGCTTGAAGAAAGGTGGTCTGACTGGAGGTCACATCGTGCACACCTAGGTGGTGTCGCGTCTTGCTGCTGCAAGCCGCGGACCTCCAGATGTCTTGGTGCGCGGGCTCAGAGGATCCCGCACGGGTCTCCCAAGAGGAGTTGGTCCCGAAGGCCATCGACGTCTACCTCGGTGATGCCCTGCAAGGGCACATGGCTGTTGTATCATTTTTCACGTGATAAGTAGAGTGTCATACCCACATGAAGCTAGTAGGAAGACATTATCAAGCTCATAACTACATTGTCTGCGTAGCTATGTTCGCACCCAGACCATAGTTTGAAAATAGCCTATGCTATCGATTGCTACCGGAATGTAATAAATGTACCGGAATGTAATAAATGAGGTTTTAATTAGACTACAAACTAGGAGAAAAATATATACTCCCTTCATTTTTGTATACAAGGCCACAAACTCGAATTACAGGTATCAATGTAAAATTTAATGCCTGCTTTAAAAGTCAACTTCTCTTCTTGTTACTGAGATCATTAATACTTCACATGCATGCAAAGAAACTGAGTGAAGAAAGTAGCCGACTGTCATTATGATGTCATGCATGCAAGTATTAAACAGGTTGTTAGTATGAGAAAATATCATTAACTTCGTCTCGATTACTGTTGGTGGCCTTATATAGATGTAAAATGTATATTCCATAATGGCCTTGTATATAAAAATGAAGGGAGTACTAAACTAGAACGGAGTAAAAAAGGGTTCTACTTGTAGGACTCAATAAAGCAAAGGACGGTACCTAGGCTTTCAGTCTCACTAGTACAAGAGGAGCGTCATAGTGGCATACAAGTATTATAGACTAATAATGGTTCTCCCATGATTTGCATCCACGGTCTCTCACTTCTAGATGTACTGGACATAACATTGCGTCATGGTCACATGCAGAGTCAATAATAGACAACGGAACCAAAGAATCATAAAATTCATCTATCTACTTTGTGTATGTACAAGTGTTGTGCATGCAACGCGAAAGAGAGTAACTACTAAACGAAGCCATAGAAGCGGTAAATATGTGTTTATACTAGTACAAGCTTTAGTATAATTTTATACGGCCAAATAAGTGTTGATGATTTGGTATAATTTGAAACTACAAACTTTGTACTAAATCAAATGCACTTAGTTCTATAATAATGCAGCAAAATGTTGTTTAAAATTGCAGATCATGTGAAAGCAGTAAAATTTGTTACAAAATCATTCTAGTATTTTTTTGAGAGAGACTGGCGCGTGGGGTCACCTTGTCATCATCAAGGTCGAACCAGACCAGACCAGACCACGCAAATCTTGTCGCTCTCGCACTCGCACCAGGCCGTCGTTCCCCATTCCCTCGCCGTCGGCGCCACCGCGCAGCCGCGGCGCCATGCTCCAGTTACGTAGTCGCATCCTCGCTCATCTCTTCTATTCTCCAGCCACCTCTCCCGTATCCCATCTCCGTCGCCTGGTAGCTTCGCCGTGGAGGACTACCTAGTCGCCACCTGCGGCCTCACCCGACCACAGGCCGTCAAGGCCTCCGCCAAGCTCTCCCACCTCAAGTCCCCCGCCAATCCCGACGCCGTGCTCGCCTTCCTCGCCGGCATCGGCCTATCCGGCGCCGCCGCCGCCGCCCTCGTCGCCAAGGACCCCAGGCTCCTCTGCGCCGGCGTGGAGAGAACCCTGGCGCCCAATTGCGTCTCCAGGTGATGGTGGGATGCGCTGAAAACATAGGTATACCCCGTGACACTGGGATGTTCAAGCATGCGCTGCATTGTGTTGCATTTCTCAGCGAGGAGGAGATCGCAGCCAGGGTGTGGAGCACTTGAAGAACACGTTCAGGTGGACGGATGCTGAGGTAGGCATGGCTGTGTCTAGGGCTCCAATGGTGCTGAACAGAACTAAGGAATCGCTGCGGCGCAGTTCCAACTTCCAAGTTCCTCATCTCTGAAGTGGGGCTGGAGCCGGCGTACATTGCTCAGCGGCCGTTTATTTTTGTTTCAGCCTAGAGGGCCGGATGAAACCCCGGTACTACGTTGTAAAGTTTCTCAAGGCAAATGGATCCGAGCTACAGTGCTATTTTCAAGGAGACCGAGAAGGCATTCAGAAAGAAGTTCATATGCCCTCACAAGGAAGCCGCGCAACACCTCAAAGAAGACTATGATGCTGCTTGTAAAGGGGAAGTGTCGTCTAATTTCAGATTCACATGAGCCAAGAATGGCTATGATGTAATTGTGTGTTGGCTGTCCGCTGCTCTATGAATGTTAGATGCTGGGTTGGTCGTTGCTAACGTGTAATGGAATTGATAATTTGATCCCTGAATACCGGTATGTAATGCTATCACTCGGCAGAGAAGAAAGCATGGATCGGTTATGAACTTCTTCATCCTCATTCAGGTTTTAAACACACTTACTGGAACCAACTAAGTAAGTTTGAGATCACGCCATTCTTCAACGCATTAGAATTTCAGTTTTTAAGTTAGTTGCTGGTGCATTGAGACAATGAGCCACATTAAGGTCTCCATGTGGATAATTGGAGCATGAATCTGATGCTAGTCGCAAATTTAGGTAAGTAGTCTTTTTGGAAGCAACTGTAGGGGAAGTTGCCTCCTGGTGTTAGCGCTTCCTATTTAGGGCCCAGCGACAATTCACCTGGCTTTATCTTGATCTATTTTTCAATTATGGTTTGACAGAAAAATCATTTTGGTTTGCTCGTATGGAGATTCATCGTGATCCATTTTTTTGCTTCAACTAACTAATATAGATGTATTCATTCAACTATGAAAAGTGTCCGGAAGTGGATTCTCCTTTAGTTAGATCATCAGAGGTAACGATTTGGAGTGATTGGTCATATTGGAAATACCTACTGGTCTGCAGGACGAAATGTGCAGGGCTCACATCTACATGTTATCTGCTAAATGTGGGTGCTCACTTTACTAAACATCATGAAGAAATATGCCCTAGAGGCAATAATAAAGTTATTGTTTATT